CAAAATTTATAGATGATAAATTATATATCAAAATGGAATTAATTGCTGGTTCATCATTACAAGATCATTTATCATTAATTAAAGATACAAATCAAAAAATGTCTGAAGATAATATATGGCGAGTTTTGATTCAACTTATACTTGCATTAAGATATTTACATAAAGAAAAAGGAATTGTTCATCGAGATTTAACAGCCAATAATATTATGTTAGATGATGAATATAGAGTTAAAATTAGTAAGTATTATATATCTATCTTAGATAATAAAGTTTATCTAGAAAATTTGAATAGAAGTTGAGCGCGGCAACAATAACATATTGTTTATTTAAATTTACACTGATAATATAGATAATTACAAAATATCTGATTTAAGTGTTTGCTATTTATCTCAATTTATTCTGTTATTGAAATATTAAAAATTCATTGAATAAATTACGAGAAAAATTTCTTCGAAAGTGTAAATCAAGAAATTTGATGTCACTGTTAAATAATAAGTTCATATCAATCTTAAGGAATCCGCTGAACGATTTATTGATAATAAAAGTCTATTAGAAATATTTCAGATCAATTGATCTTTTGTATTAGTCAATTAAAAATAACGAGGGAAGTCTCCCAACTGACAAAACTATTTTTGAGTTCAGACTATTTTGATTATAGAAGTTCAAGTGAATTATGAGTATTCTGAAAACAGTTCAGACCCTTAATTTATTGTTGCTAAGATACTACGTTTTTACGGTAGTGTTTAAATGAATATAGTGATCCTTCTCTGAAAAACTGATTTTCGAATTTTGATTTGAACCGAGGCTCAGAGACAAATTAATGATAATAGGTTTTTGTGAATGTTTCAAATCTTGTCATGGTTTGTATTTTACGATACAACTATAGTAGAAGCATGTCTTTTACATTCTTATATATATAACGATAAATTCGATGTTCTTATTTCAAAATAGAAGCAAATCAAAAGACTTGAAATGTTTACAAGAAACTATATTCCATCGTTGTAGAAACTTTCAAGTTGAAACTCAAAATTCAGTTGTACTGATGTTTCTAACAAGACTACGGCATTTGTTTAAAAACTACCGGTAATTTGTAATATCTTTGCAAAAGTAAGTTAAGAGTCCGAACTCTTCAGGATATAGAAAAATCATTTAGGGCTATATGATGCACTTACGAGGGAACATTCCCAGGCGTTGGAACGCTTTTTAGTCGGGACTTTATGCATCTTATAGGCCTTGATGAATTATGTCTACCGTAAAAAAAGTTCGTGCCCCTAGCTTGTTCCTAGTGAGATATCGAGGTTTTAGTGAATTTTTCCTATAAGACCCCACATTTGCAGCAAGGCCATATTTTTTAATTTTGATCTGAAACTTTGTCCACATAAACACCTCAGCTAGACTAGTTTGCATAAAAATTTTCAGAACTTTTGGGCAAAGTCTCTCCGAGATATGAAGCTTTCAAAAAAATGCATGCTTTATACGCTATCTATGGAAAACAGCCTATACGTCGAGAGCTTCATATCTCGGAAAGACTTTGTCCAAAAGTTCTGAAAATTTTTGTACAAACTAGTCTAGCTGAGTTGTTTATGTGGACAAAGTTTCAGATCAAAATTAAAAAATATAGCCTTGCTGCAAATGTGGGGTCTTATAGGAAAAATTCACTAAAACCTCGATATCTCACTAGGAACAAGCTAGGGGCACGAACTTTTTTTTACGGTAGACATAATTCAACAAGGCCTACAAGATGCGCAAAGTTCCTACTCAAAAGCGTTCCAACACCTGGGAATGTTCCCTCGTTAGCATAGTCCTGAGCTAAAAGCAATGAATGGGTTGAAAACATTCCTTCGTAAAAATTTTAGAAAGTATATAATAGGTCCATATATAGAAAGATTAAAAGGAATTTTTGGAAGATATCGTTTATCTTCAATAAACAAAAGAGAAAAGTATATTTTTTCTTTCGATGATTGATAGACGACGATGTTTATTGATTTCATATTCTAATTTCTAGCTGATTTTGGTTTGGCTAAATTACGTAATAATGATTGCAGTAAGATGACATCGGTCGTCGGTACAATGTATTATGCTTGTCCAGAAATTATTCAACATTTGAAATATAATGAAAAAGCTGGTGAATTTTGATTTTTCATTACTTTCTTCTTTAGCTTTGAAATCATTTCTATTTGTTTTTAGACATATGGAGTTTAGGCTGTGTACTTTATCATATGGTAGCATTAGTGCCACCATTTTTTACTTCAAATATTCTATTACTTGCAAGTAAAATATGTGCAAGTGAATATGATCAAACACCACTTCAACATTATTCGGATCGAATTCGACAAATTGTTATTGAATGTTTAACTGTTGATCCATTAAATCGTCCAGATATATGTGGTATTGCACAGTTATGTACAGAACAATTAATGTCATATACTGATCGTTCATGTACTACAATACAATCATTAGAAAAACGTTTAAGACAACGAGATCGTCAGCGTGAAATTTATTTTCTAAAACAACAATCACAATTACAACAACAATCAAATCATCATCAAAGATGTTTAAGTTGTTCAAGTACGAAAGAATCACTTGTAAGTAGTAGTGGTGGAATGGCTGATGTTAGTTTTGATGGAACAGATGGACAACATGATACAATTAAACAAGATACATTTACGATGGGTAAAATAAATCTATTTCTATGTTTATCGAATTTTTCTTTATTTGTGCTTTTTTTGAAGTATCTGATTGTGAAACAATTGAAAATGTATCAAATAATATTATTCCACAACCACCAAGTAATTCCACAAAACCAACTAATATCCGACGTCAACCAAATCGAATTACATCTGAACCATTATCAAATTCAACTGAAAGTATATATTGATAAAAAAACCTGATTTGTTTGTTTTCTTAAAAAAGAAAACTTTTTCATATGAAATATTTAGCTGCAATATGTCCAGCTCGATCACCTGAATCATCAAATGTATCGTTCGAAAGTGGGTATGATAGTAATAACATAGCACAAGGAATTCATAATTCTTTAAGTTTATCAAATATGGAACGCAAGTGAGTAAACGAAATTCTTTTTTTGGCACATTAATATTAAATAGGCTACTTAAATTGGTTTTTTTTTGTTGTTGAATCTTCACAAACCATTGTTTAAATCTTTTTTTTTTAGACCTAACAGTGCTATTAATCGTCCACGACCATCATCAGCAACTGGTTCAATAAGTATATTGAATTCACGTCTTCGACCAACTGATCCAGTTAGTCAATTACTAGATATAGTTCACAAAATAGTTTATATATCATATGTATGTATTATAAAATAAAACAAAAATATGTATTATTTTTTATATTGCCTTATTCTCTTTCTATAAGGTACCATCAAATAAAATAAATCATAAATATCGTCGTTTAATTGATCGTTATAGAGGTTATTTATTTTCAAAAGGTTCATCACAGAATTTAAAAAGTGAATTATCAAAATTATCAACTCATTCAACTGATTGTATTGAATTTGATGTTGGAATTGGCCGGCAAATGATTGGTTTACAATCATTGACAGGTTCATCACGATCATCATCGACTAGTCTGTTAAATCTTAATGCTGGTAGAATATTGATGCTAAGTATTTTTTCCTAAGTATTTTTTATATATTTTTAGTTGATTTAACTATTCCGGAAAGTGACGGATCTGTCACCTATGAACAAATGATGACATTTATTGAACAAGTTCTTCGAGAAACTGATTATTACAAAGATACAGCAACACCTATGTCACCTAGTGAATCACTTCCACCAACCGCCCACAAAAATCAACGACGACCATCTGGAAGAAAATGACAACAAACTCTGACTGTGATTTTATTTGCTCATGTAATACAATGTATTTTCTTTGGTTGTTCTAAGATTAATTTTATGAAATATTTGAATGCGAAATTAATGAGAAAATTAAAGGAAAGAATGAAAGAATGAATCGAAAAAAAAATGAATGTTAACACAGTAACCATTATTTATTCTTGTTCGATGTTTTTAAAAACATTGTACATTTTCATTTCTTGTTTTGTCGTTTTGCATTTTAGACGAACGTATTGTTTTTTTTTTCTCTTCTGTTAACAACACAAATAAAATGCAATCATGTTTGATCGATTTATTATTGAGTGCATATTTAACTGAACGTTCACAATCAATCGATATATCACGTTTAAAATTACCGAGCATAACACAATCACAAAGTGCTCTTTTATCATTGGAAACTATTTATCTTAGTATTCAACAATCGTCATCATCTAATCATAATAATGATCAAACTCAGCAGCAAGAAGATGATGAAAACGATGAAAAAATTATTGGTAAAGAAAATAATGAATCATCTCAAATAAGTATAACTGTATGTGATGAAGCTAAAAGTTTAAAACGTCAATTTTCATGTAATCGTTCATTATTAATACGTGAAATGCGTTATTTTGCTGATTATTTAAAAGATGAACCTGATCAAGTTGAAGAAGTTGATATAAGTGTTCATTGTGATTTAGATATATTTCAATGGTTAATGTCATTTGTTAATCGTCGTTCATCATCAAAAGAACCTGAATTAGAACCACGTGTAGCTGTATCCATATTAATTTCATCGGATTTTCTTAAAATGGATAAACTTGTATTCCAATCATTAGATTATATTCATATACATATGAATGACATATTAGCTACAAATTGTAATGTATCATGTATTCCTGATCCATTGTTTCGTCAATTAGCTAAACTTTTTGAGAATCCATATGAAATTGAATTAATACATGATAGAAAAAATAAAATTCGTGGAAAATTATTTGAATGTAATCTAGAACAATTATTAAATGATAATAAAATAATACGTTGTCAATATTGTCTTACAATAATGACTACTGAACAAATGGAAGATTTACCTTGTTTAACAGATCGATTAATTTTAAGACCTAATGGAAAATTTTAT